TATGATATTTTCCGCTAGGTACATAACCTAGTTGACCTTCTTATGTCGGTGATGGTATAGTACTCCCAATAAAAGGTAAGGATGATTTTCTTATATTTAGGCCTAAGGAGTCAAAAGTGATGTCGATGACTTAAAGCAAATGGAATGATGATTTTCATCCAAAATCGTGGATTGATGTAAATATTTTACAAGTTTATATTGTGGGTTATATTTCACTTGGTTGTTATTTAAAATAACAAGGTTCATGAATTGATAAAATTTCTTATCATTTTATATCAAATATTGACGCATTATTTTTATAAAGTTTGTCTCAAGAACTTAAGTTAGAGAGAGTCTATGACACTTATTGAGTACCTTTGTGGTGTACTCAGCCCTTAGGGCCCCCCTCCAGGGCCCTGCTTACTTTACATGTTTCAGGATGAGGTATGATACGTGGCATGCGGTCGGGATTAGGATGACTCTCTTCCTGAAGTATATGGTGGGGCACCACTCCTATTTCGTGGTAGCTATCATGTTGTTTTTCTTAATTTATGCTAGTTGGGTATTCGTCCAAGTGCTTAATTCTATTCTTTAGTATAGAGGCTCCATAGATAGTTGTGAAAGGTTGTAGTAACGGAGTTGTACACAATATATATGAAAATATATTTATTTTACTTAGTCTCATTGTTATTATCATGAAAGGTGTCATGTTTAATTTCGAATTGAAAATATTTTATTATTTAACTTGAAAATATATATGATTTTCAAAGAGCTTCCACAGTTAAATTAGTTTCATGTATATGATTTGGGTGCGTCATATGGGTTGGTTCACTCGAGTTGGATAGTGTGTCGGGTGCTGGTCACATGGATTTGGGTCGTGACATGCCTCCATGGTGGCTAAGGTTCAGCATCGTTCCCCTATAAAAGCTAAGGGCAAATAGATGCACCAAATGCAGAAGGGTCAGTTCAACCCCGGCCAACTCGACAATTTTAATCAGCATTCTGATAATTTTGTAGATATACGGTGCAACCTGAGCAGGGCAAATGCTGTAGTGGCGAAAAAATTCTTCTACCAACAGTAGACGAGGGAACGAATAACCGATGAGGAATAGGTAGGGGTAAAAAGCATATTACCCAGGACGATGAACCTGCACCACGTCCCCTTCGGCCGGGACTAGTTCGACGTAGTTGGGAAGACCAAACTTGGCTTTGAATTCTGCCAACTCTTTGGATGCCATCAGCGATCGAAAATTCCTGGGTGTTGCATCCAGTAATCGGGTGAGATCAGACCTGACGTCGGGGTTGCGGGGTAGTATCTCCTCCGCCGACGGGAAAGCTTCATCCTCAGCAATGGCGGAAACATTCTCCCTATAGGTAGGAAACACAACCGCTAAGGGAGCAACACGACTCCCTTCACCAGCATCTGAGGGTAAGTTTGACATGCTTCGAAATAACGAAGAAGAATACATGAAGGAGAGATTCGAGTATGGTGTAGGGCAACAAAACAGAGAAAGAAGATTCAAAGAAGAAGGTTGATATCTCAAAAATTTTAGAAGAGCAAAATTTCGAATTCATGTTCATCAACCCCTATTTTTAGAAATCATAGCACCAAACCCGAAACGGCTAATCATAATTGGCACCAGAATTGAAATGGCAGATCCAATCAAAGGTCACACGTAAATAGAAGCAACGCGTCAAGAACAAGTGTCATCATGACTCATGATGTCATGACGTCACTCCATCCCTTGGGCCAGGCGACTCCAACAAATTACCCGGAAAACCTAAGAAATTTGAAAAATGCATCCGACAGAAGGCCACGTTGCCCGCTAGCCACGATTACTACGACTTATATGGTCTACTCGATAAGTTCGACCATGAACAACATTATCCGCTCATTGAATTCACTTGCTATAATGACCTAAATAAGCGGAAGGACTAATTGTATGGGTCAAAAAATTATCTTTGATATGATTAAAGCGTGATAGCATTAAGAAGGCCTTCATGGGCTGCCACATATCACCAGTGCGACTTGGATAAAGACCTTCCCAAGGTCGAAATGGTCTCTTAAGAGGTGAAGGCAGGGTCGGCGAGTTGTTGAAGGTCAAGGTCGAGGTCGAGCATTCACCTTAGACAGGATAATAACGGCTATTTTTTATGATAAGACATTAAAGAGAATATTCTAGTAGATATTCTCTGGACTTGTACTATTAAGGTATTTATGTATATGTTCCATATAAATAGAAAGAGACAAAATTACAGAGGACATAAGATATTCACTTGTAAGAAAAGACATTGACTTTTGATATTGAATCTGGCTTTATTGCAAACATACAACAAATACCTTTTTCCTAAGATTCTTGTCTAACTTTTCTACCTGATCCAAGAACAATCTGAACATTCGAAGGCTCATCAATCATTCATTATTGCTAGATGGAATATCCATAGATCTCACCCCTTTTCGGGTGACCCGCACGTTCTTATTTACTTAAATGTAATCCATGATATTTATTGTTATTAGTGTCATCCCCCTTCTTTTTGGGTCGTTGAATATTGTTAGTGTTGTCAATATTTATTTCTATTCAGATAATCTACATATCATCTTATTATAATATTAGTTAATATATCTTTTGGATATTAATATTAGCTAAGATTGACTCAATTTTATTAAATCTAACTGATTAAGTTCAGATCTAAATTTTGGGTCAAACAGATAGTCCAAGAAAATACGAGAAATTGTACATTGTATCTCATATGGTTAAATCATAATTGTGTGAGATTTTAGGAGCATCCATAATAAAGCGGGGTCTCTCCTGCAGCTTTGGCTTCTTTTTTTTTTCTTCCTACGTACTTAGGTGTAATTTTGACAAGTAGATTCTCTTTCGTCCAATCTCCTATGAAGGAGCTGTAAATAGTCTCTACAAATCGTATCAGATTTATCGATGGTCTTACTTTGAATAATAATTAAAAAAATTCTATCCTGTATTTTTTTGAGAAATAACGTGCACTCGGCTTTGTACCTTGCTGATAGATTACACACTTTGCGTAGTATGTTCTTTTTGTTATTTAAGACTTTAACTTATATATACAAAACCAACAATGACAACAAGAATAGCATAATGAGTAAATTCTCGTACCGTGGGGTCTTAGAAGGGTAATACCTATGGAAATTTTACCCCTATCTTATGAAGGTGGAAAAATTATTTCCAGTAAACCCTCGGCTTAAGAAAAAAATAAATATACAAAACAACCATCATAAATATATTTTCCTCAATTGGTGTAGTTTAATTAGCTCAAGGATTAAATAAATTGACGAGTCCTTTAAGTTAAAATATTACCTATTTAAAGTTATTACAAGCCTAAACTTTCCTTTAAAACTACAGACAAAGGGTGTGTTGGGTACGAATGAAAATATTTTCCGAAAAATATTTTTTTTAATTATTTCTTGTTTGATTGGCCTAAATATTTTGAAAACATTTTCCTCATGAACTCATTTTCCTTCAATTGGAGAAAAATATTTTTCCTATCAAGAAAAGGGAAAATATTTTTCAAAACTCCTTCTCAACCTTCCCCACCCTAATCCCCGTCCCCACCAACTCATCCCCACACCCC